TAGCTCCCTCCCTTCCTCTCTGCAAAAAATCAATAAAATATATTTTAAAAAAAAAATACTTCATTGATTTTTTTTTACAGAGAAGAAGGGAGAGGGATAGAGAATTAGAAACATCGATGAGAGAGAAACATCAATCAGCTGCCTACTGCACACCCCCTACCGGGGATGTGCCCGCAACCAAGGTACATGCCCTTGACCGGAATCGAACCTGGGACCTTTCAGTCCGCAGACCAACGCTCTATCCACTGAGCCAAACCAGCTAGGGCTCTAAAATTCAGTTTTTAAAAAATATTTTTAAAAATACAAATAAGGCCCTAGCCGGCTTGGCTCAGTGGATAGAGCGTTGGCCTGCGGACTGAAGGGTCCTCGGTTCAATTCCGGCTCGTCCCCCAGTGGGGGGTGTGCAGGAGGCAGCCAAGCAATGATTCTCTCTCATCATTGATGTTGCTATCTCTCTCACCTTCTCCCTTCCTCTCTGAAATCAATAAAGAAATATATTTTAAAATAAAAATACAAATAAGGACTGCTTTAAATACAAAAAAACCCCCACAAAATTAAAAGCCCTCCAACTTTGAAGCGAATGTGGAATCTCTTGAATGCAGACTGTCTAGTTTATCAGACTATTCTACTGGTGAGTGCTTCAGATGTGGGAGGGAAACTCACCTGTTTTATTTGCCTAATTTAAGTGTCTGAAAAACAAATCTCCTTTGTTCTCCTGGGCTGCAATGGAATAACTTTAAAGAGGGTTTTGGCATTTCCTTTCCTTTATAAAACATGCTCAGCAAATTGCACCAGTTCACTACAATTTGGTAAGTTGTTGTGTTAACAATTATGATGTTTGCAATGTTTTATAAAGCAAATCATTTAATAAAATCACGATTGTGAGGAAAATAAATAAATAATTAAATAAAAATATTGGCACACAAAGGACACTCAACAGAATGAAAAAGCAATCCACAGAATAGGAGAAAATATTGCAAATATCTGATTAGGGATTAATATCCAAAATATATAGAGAATTTCTACATCTCAATTAAAAAACAGCGACAACCTGATTTAAAAATTGGCAAAGCCCAGCTGGCGTGACTCAGTGACTGAGCCTCAACTTATGAACCAGGAGGTCACGGTTTGATTCCCTGCCAGGGCACATGCCTGGATTGTGGGCTTGATTCCCAGTGGGGGGCGTGCAGGAGGCAACCGATCAGTGATTCTCTTTCATCATTGATGTTTCTATCTCTCCCTCTCCCTTCCTCTCTGAGATCAATAAAAATATATATTTTTTAAAAAGATTGATAATTCGGTAGCTTGTTCCAGGACTTCAAGGATGGCCATCAAGAGGAAATCTATTAATATAATTTGTTGTATTAGTAGATTTAGAATTCATATGCTCAGCTAGCATGGCTCAGTGGTTGAGCCTCAACCTATGAAGCAGGAGGTCACGGTTTGATTCCCTGTCAGGGCATATGCCCAGGTTGCGGACTCAATCCCCAGTGTGGGGCTTGCAGGAGGCAGCTGGTCAGTGATTCTCTCTCATCATTGATGTTTCTGTTTCTCTCTCCCTCTCTCTTCCTCTCTGAAATAAATAAAAATAAAAGTTTTAAAAAATAAAAAAGTAATATGATCTCATCAACAGATACTAAATAGCACTTCATACAATTTAATATACAAAATATCCCATATAGAGTAACTTAAATGTGAAAAGTAAAAATACTAATTAACTGGAGGGAAAAAACAAATTAATAGAAAGGATTTCTATATTTTGTTAGAGAAAGTCTTTCTAAGCGTGACTCCAAAACCAGAAATGTTACACAAAATATAACTTCTGTATGGGAAAAGATAGTTTAATAGAAGAAAGGAAAATTGCATATGCTTATAGATGCATCAAAAAGTTTTAAAAAATACTCTCTAAAGTGTTAACTGTTTAAATTCTTAGAGGTTAGATAACAGGTAACTTTCTTATGTACTGTTTAATTTTTAAGATGCATGCATAACTTACAATCAGCAAAAATAAAGGCTTTTTCATTTTGAAAAGAATAATAGAAAAGGATAAGTTGTTTTCTGTTTCATTAGGCAAGAAGGTTTACAAAAACATGGGGAGAAATTTTTTTGAGCAGTTTCAAATAAGTTTTGGTATCTAAAGACTTAACTTTTATTTACAGATAATACCATATGTAGCAACTTAAAGCATAACTGTGTGGTATTTACACTTTTTTAAAAATATTTTTTTATTGATTTCAGAGAGGAAGGGAGAGGGAGAGAGAGATAGAAACATCAATGATGAGAGAGAATCATTGATTGGCTGCCTCCTGCACGCCCCCAACTGGGGATCGAGCCTGCAACCCAGGCATGTGCCCTTGACCAGAATCGAACCTGGGACCCTTTGGTCCACAGTCCGATGCTCTGTCCACTGAGCCAAACCAGCTAGGGCAAGGTATTTACACTTTTTAATAAAATTTATAGAATTTTAAAAGTGTGAAATGGTATTAAATGTTATGAGTAGAACTTACGTTATTTTCTTCTCTCTCTTTCTTTTTAATAACTAAAAATTCCCTGGTCCAAATTTATTATGTGTCTCTGAAGGCTTTAACTGAAGAAACAAAATACGTACTCATGGAACAAACTGGGCCTTTGTTGTGATAAAACAGCTTCAGCTACTTGGCTGGAGGAGTTTGGCTTCACTCTAAAGGGCTGTGCTCATTTTGGGTAGAACAGGATCTTCTCTCTATTTTTAAGTTCTTTTGGCATTTACATTTGAAATCTATATCATATTAGGTTTTCTGTTTACTTTTAAATTTAGTAAAATAGAAGTCAATGTGATTTGTTGACTCCACAGATTTGGACATATAAAATTTCATCGTAATGTGAAAGTAACTAAATTAAATGCTGTTTAATTTTAGAGCTATACTACAAAATTCTTGGGCTGAAGTCATGGATTTAATATTGAAACCCCGTTCTGGAGGTGAGAATAAAATTCATGTTATGAAAAAAAATAGAATATATGGCTAGATATTCATGGCATTGCTGTGAATGAAAGTATGTGAAAATTAGGGGAGTTATTTCAGAATTTTTAAAAACTGGGTTTTATTGGTAAAATAAAAATATAGTTTATTTCTTTATTTTCATAAGGTTTATGTACATGTTTGAGATTTATCATTTATATGCTGTTTTCAGCTTTTTAGCTCATCTGATTTATTAATTCATAAATGAATACATTCATTCCCTTTTCTCCATGCACTATTAAATCTCTGAACACAGGAATCCAAATATATTTCATTTGTAGTTAATTTTTAAAAGTGTAATGGAATATAAAAACTTGGCAAAAACATATTGAGAATCTTTAGTTTGAAAAATTCACTAAAACTTTCCAGAAAATATTTCTAAAATCATACTGCATGAAAAATGATTTTTTAAGTACTACTTTACAGATGATCAAAAGTGATGCCCACTTTTGGGTAATCATTCATTTGCATATTTAAAAGAGATAAAATTATCTAATTTTAAGGGAAGTAACCCGTTAAATTTGACAATCCTATAGAAAAGGGGAAGGAAGAAAGGAACTCCCAGGTTTTGTGGTATGTTGAATCAGCTGTGATAATGAACAAGTAATGGCTTTAAATCCTGGGGTGATGACAAAGCTGTCTAGTTCTATAAACTTTATACATTTCCCATCTTCTTATTTTCTGATGGTGATTCTCAGGTTAGCAGAAGCTTTTACAAATAGCATTTTCTAATTTGTGTTCTGTATGAAGCATTTTAAGTTATGCAAGTCTGTCTATTGGATAAATTGTTTAATCACAGCTTTCCCCCCTCCTTTAGCCGAAAAGGGGTACCTGGTTAAATGCAGGGAAGAGTGGGCGAAGACCAAAGACCCAGCTGCTGCCCTCAGAAAGCTACCTGTCAAAAGGTGTGTGGAAGGGCAGCTGCTTCGAGGACTTTCAAAATATGGAATGAAGAATATAGTCTCTGCATTTGGCATAGTGAGTGCAATTTGTAAAGTCAGGCAAATGACTCAAGGTGGTTTAATGCTTTTAAAATTTTATCTTTAAATATTTTACTAAATTCAGAAAGAACAGAAAGTAAATGAGGATCCTTCAGTGATCTCTGAGGAGTGTGTAATATTTGTGTGGTTCTTCAGACTCTGAAAGGTCATGTGGGCGGGTCGTGGATGCCAACAGTATCGGCATAATAGTTTACATTGAGGGCATGAGAAGAGCAGTGATGTGGAAAATATTATCTACAAGGAAATTTAAATTCGCTGTCTTGCTTTTTGAGAAACTCAGAATCCATCATTGAGTTCATTTCTTGATCATTCTCTAGCATCAGAACTGTAACCTGCCTCAGTTTAAGAGGGTTGCACAGTAAGGGGTCTAAGTGATGGCATTTCATTTAATTTCTTTGTGGTAATGCAAATTGGTACCCACTCTTGTGTAGCCTATACTAGTATTTGGATAACTACAATCCAGAATAGACTGCAGTTTAACTCAAACTTGAGTCTTATTGACTCTTCCCCAGTATGTACTCAAAAAAGCAGGATTCTTCATGAAATTATTTGTTAGTTCCATCATTTAGGTTTTCTCCCTTACATAAAACTATGGGGGAGAAAGCACCATTAGCTCTAGAATTGACATGGAAATTCCTGTGTCTTTGACGGAGGGCATAAGTTCTGTAGTGTTTGCTTTATCTGCGTGAATGTTTGCTCTGTGGATGCACATGGGCACAGCTGTGGCTGCAGCCGACTGTGAATACCCCTGAGTGTGAGGGCTTCCGTGTCTAACACCGGTTGCTACATATTGGAGGTTTAAGGTGTGAGTGTCTTATAGTAGGGTCACCACTAAAGTGAGATGCCTTGGAAAGTACTCTATTTTTTAATATTTAGAACATTTTTTTTTTCTTGCCTGTTTTTTTTTTCTTCCCTCCAGATACCTAGAAATAACCGCTTAATGTATATTCATAGCTATCAAAGCTATGTGTGGAATAACATGGTGAGCAAGAGGATAGAAGAGTACGGACTGACGCCTGTTCCAGGGGACCTAGTTCTCAAAGGAGGTAAAAAGGCAGATACTGTCATTATTCAGTCAAACTAGAGTCCAGGTATGCGATACCAGAGTTTAAAATCCAGCCCGACTACTAGTTAAGAGAGAGAGATGTCTAGTAAGTTGGAAATGGACGGACATTGTAAGCTCAGACTGACAAGTTTGGATGTGTGTCTTTAATGAAAAATAGATCTCTGATTTGAGTAAGCGCCTGACTGTCCATTTTCTCAGCTGGAATAAGGTTTGGGCTGAATGTTACCTAAAATCCCTCTCCAAGCTTTAATCTGGGTCTAGCAAATACTTCTCTGCACTTTGGGATGAACTTTCCCCTCTGGGCTGTTGGCCAGGTTAAGGAGTTTCCTAACTTCAGATTGGAGCTCACTTTCCATGTGGGCCATGATCTAATGAACATTTTGTGCACACTCTGAGCCCGAAATGTTTCTCAGGCACCCAGACAATCTCATCTGCTGTTGAGCTATTACTGTGCACAGTCCTTATGCTAAGTCCCTCATCTGTGTCTTCTAGTTTGAAGCTCATGGTAATACTGCCAAGAATTCTTTCCGTTCTTCAGATGAGGTTCAGTCACTTGCCCGGGGTTCCACAGGTGGTTAAAAAAAGAAAAGGCTGGGATTCAGCATCAAGCCTGTCTGTTGTTGAGGTATTGCGTTATCAGGTCTTTGAAGAAATAAATTTTGAGGAGGTGTGAGAGGAAGGAATACATTTTATAAATCTTACAGTGAAGCTCACGATTAATGTTTGAATAGCAGGAGTTTTAAATATGCTATTAAAAATCTGTACTGGAAAGTTAAGGGAATTGCCAGACAGTGAAAGAAAAATGTGAGCTTGCCAAACAAGGATTTCAGTGTAGATTTTTTTTTCCT